AGTATTACTTTCCATCTGTCCAAATTGCTACACGTGTCCTTAGTAGAACGTTTACGAAAATAAGTCGTTTTTGCATATTGCAAGTGTATCATGACGATCGGTATTGTCAAAACAAGTACAAATATACTTCAGAACTTATAAAATTCGACAAAACAAGATTACAAAATTCAACAAAATAAAGTTTCTAGTTAACAATTGATGGGTTCTGTTGTATTTTCGAGCCCGTGGGGTGCCTGAAACTCTAGAAAACACGAAAAAATTTGAAAAGCAACTCCCCTTTTCGCAAGTCGATTCTGCATATCGCAAGTGCGTCATGACGATCACAATTGTCAAAACAAGTCGAATTATACTTCAGAACTCATAGAATTTGACAAACATAAGATTTCTACCTAAAATTTTTGAAATTATCGAAAACGTTGCATAAGTTGTCAGTGGAATTTATAAACTTGCTGTTCTCGCTGACGTTGTTTTAAGAGCTGAAAATTGTCATTTATAAACTCCGTTGCCAAGTTGCCGTTGATAGTAACTTTAATGTTCAACTTTTGCCGTATTTAAAGGGGTTGTAGAAGAAACGTGGAGGATTTAAGTTGATTTCTACAAAAAATTAACACTTTAAACGTGTTTCAAGTTTCTAAGAATAGAAAAAAATAATCACAATTGAGATGGGGTGGGTGGGCGGAGTTTATAGTTTGGTTTTTCTTTTTCTTAATATACGCAGTATTCTTTGAACAACACGATACTCAAAAACGTGTTTTTAATTTTTTGTAAAGAAATAAGTATTTTGCAGTTAAGCTCCGCTCCCTTGGTTCACGGCGAATAAAAAAAATCGTCGCAATTGAGATAGGGCGGGTGGGCGGGCTTACTTTTTGCCTTCTTGTTTCAATATGTGTTGACTTCTTTTCACAACCTAAAACTTAAAACATGTTTAAAATGGAAAATTTAGATAAGGAAATATCGATTTGGAAATAAATATGAGAGGGAGTTTTGAAGAAGTTAGATGAATCATAATGAAAAGTAAAAGATTACCAAGACTACAAAAGCCTAAGAAATGTTAGATTCATTTCTTAATGTATTTTCCAATAAAGATTTATTTACTACTCCTATATTTTTGTAAACAAACATCAATCTTTTTGTAGTGTAGATAGTTTGTTAATGTGATTATGCACAATGTTACATAAAGCATGGTACTTCAGAGTTGTATGGAACATGTTGATATATTCCTCTCTTGTAGTAGTCTGTTTCTACATCTTAAAAAAAAAGGACAGCAGTTTCCTCGGTCCTGAAATAGAGTCCAACAAATCCCTCTTTTTTGAAAAATTATAAAATTTGATTTTGTAAAATTCTATTTGTGGTACGTTAAACAAAAATAGCTTATGGTTTGGAAAATCACCAATACTCCGCTACTGCCTGTGATTCGAACGCATTATATGACGAAGACACACTCTGTTAATTTGTTTATATTTGGTTTGGCGCGGAGTGCGGGAAAATCGGGTGAACGCTTAAAAAATTAAACCAAAAATATGACTAAAGCGCAAGGCTGTGCCTATTTCTAGTGTTTTCCCATTGAAAAATGTTCCGATCAAACACGCATGTCAATTCCAACAAGTGCAGCATACGTGCATTACTAATAATAAAAAATTGGGCGAAGGATATTTCGAAAGAACTTCTTTCGCTCTTAAAGTATAGTCCGGCAAATTCTGCTTGTTTAAAAAATTATAAAATTTGATTACGCGATTTTCGTTTTGTGCTAACCTCTATAAAATAAAAACCAGTGGCGTAATGAACACCTCCAGAGCGTGAACAATATGAAATACTTTCAAGCAAATAACCAACGTGAAAAAATGTAGATATTCTCAGTTTTTCAGTACATGCTTAAAGTCGTCTGTTTATGCTTACACTTCGAAAGAATTCAATTATTAGTATGTTAAGATTGCAAGCGTCAGCAGTTAAAAGAAAATGGAATTTGATTGGTGTAAATATTGTTTAAAATTTAGATTTTTTTTCCCAAAAATCACATATGCTAAAGCATGTTGTTTTATAAAATTTAAAAACATTCAACAGAATTGTAAGATGACGTCATCATTTTTTAGGGGGGCATGAACGAAAACATTTTGATTAATGATTTACCATACTTACGATAACTTTAAAACGCTTGCATATTTTTAGAGCATTCAGTTTTGCAGATTCAAAGCTAAATTGTTAAATGTTATAAAATTTTGATTTTTTTTTTCAAAATCTGGATGTTTAGGATAAAAACTCGACACGCATTCATAAACCACATGTTATTTTGTAAGATTTAAATAATATTTACTAAAGTAAATTTTGGTGATGACGTCATCCTGTTGTTGGTGGGCATGATTATTAAATTTTGGTTAGCGTTTTACCATTTACACAATATTCCTAATACACGTACAAAATTTGACAACAATCAGACAGACAGACAGGCGGAAACGGGAGACCTATTTTTTCGTTCTCTACTTTACGCTCAGCAAATAAAAATATAGATAATACAAGTCACACTGTAAAAAATTGTAATCCATGGGTCAATCGGACTAACGACCTTCGCGTTAATAATTCAACATTTTTACGGCACGACCACAGAGTTCACCACACGTCAGTGCCCTTGGACTGGTATAAAATGTGTTAATGCAGTTTAGATTTTTGAATACCTAGCAGAAAAACTCAAGGCGGATTCATAAACCGCAATTTCAGGAGTTTTATAAAATTTAAATTACGTTTACCAAAAAAATCAAAGTGTTTGTGGAGATGATTAAACAAATTTTGGACCATGAGGCTCGAAACGATCATAATTTGACAACAATCTGTCCAGTACTTTCGGAGATTATATGTTTAATAGAAATCGCCACAGACAGACACAATCGCAAGACCTACTTTTTCGCATTCTAGGGGTTGTGAAACGTCTAGAAAATATATCCAATACGTTCGCTTGTTGCAAAAGTGACCCTGTTATAGTACATATTTTTGCGTCGAACTAGTAACTAACAATGAAAATAAAGTTTTTTATTTTAACAGTGTATTTGTCTATGTTAATAACAAAACCATATTGTAATTCCTTCAAACAATGAGATTAATTCATTGAATTTAGAATTAATTTGTTTCATTTTCATGACAAGCACATGAATTGATGACCTTTCATTGTTCGCTTAACCAAAATTTGTTAGTTTTTTCGTGCAGCGAATGAGTTGTTGAGGTAAAAAATTGGTCCAAGTTTATGTAGACAGAACTTCTCTTTCCTATGAAGTTCAATCTGACAAATCTCTCTTTGAAAAATTATAAAATCAGTTTTTTGGGATTTTATTTGTGATAACCTCTGTACATAAAAATATATATAGTACAGTAACAGTGTAAGAAAAAAGAAAGTGTCATGAATTTGGCTAGTTCGGGCCGAAACTCAAGGCGGATTTATAAATCACAAGTGTAAGAGTATAATTAAAATTAATTTTGTGTGATTTGAAAATCACACTAGCGGTGTTTTTCCAGAACCTGAGTAATAGACATCATTAGCTTTAATTTGAACTAGCGATGAACAATAATGTAAGTACTAAATCTTTTGTTACTGTGATAAGAAATGTCTTGAACAAATATATAAGTGTAAGTGTATTTAAATTGGTAATATACATAAAACTTTGATACTGTTGGTAACACTAGCATATTGGTGTCAGAAAACGTGTCGAAACGTCAAAAGTGCAGATAAAATTTTTGTGTTGGATTAAAAATTAAAAATTAACGAAAACTTTTTAACATTCATGGAACTAGAATATAAAACTAAAAATACCTTTCCTGTCTGTTTACTTCAAATTGTACATTTATGATAATACAACGATCAGGGACAACAGGTATTGATCATTTAATGTTTAATGGATGGCAGCGGTGACAGGGGCTAAAAAGTCACTAAGCCATGTTTACACGGTTGAATTAACAATACGTGGTCATTAATTTCTTACATTTTTCCAAGTCGGTCGGTTACAAGTGAAAAATGTCAAAACTTTTATACATTTAATAGAGGTTATTTTCATGTTCCGCTAGATAAATAACATGAAATGAGCCCCAGAAGACGCAAGGAAAAATTACTCCTATAATTCTACACTAGAATTGATTGTCTCATGTTTAGGTATACGAGCGTTTTTTAACTGAATAAATACGGGCAGCTTTTTCCTTATTGGCCGAACTTAATGTTTGCCTAGGAAATCCCGACAGCATTTGTGCATTTGAAATACGAGGAAAGAAATCAAGACGATATATTGATTCAAGTAAATAACGTATCAGTGCCAGTTCACCAGAACTGTCGGTTTGAATCATTGGTTATAAATCTAGGTGATTTTTTAGAGGTTGCAAATTTTTTTATATTTTTCTTGTAACGCCAATCCTTCAAATTAATGCCAGTTGCGTTGTGGTATGTGTGTTTAAACCGCAATTTCTATTGCAACAAAACTGCAGAATTGTTTCCAAATAGAGTTCTTCGGTTTTATAGTGATTTTCGAAACAGCGTTTTTATTTATAGTATTGCAATCTTATTGTACGTTTAAAATTTTAAAGTAATTAGTTTGGTCGTTTCGGAAATGATCCGCCTAATACATTTGTAACGGACGGACAGACGGAAACCGGAAGCTTTCATTAATGCGAAACTCCAAGTAAACATGAATTAAACATTCTTCAAAATGATCCTATTACGGAGCTTCCATTCCACCCCTCGTTGGGGAAGTAAAAACAAAAAGAAAAATTCGGGTTAGGCAATTCTGTGGATTAATCAGCTTTGTTTTTTTACGAAAAATACAACTCGCTTAATTCTTTGCTCTTTTAATGACACTGTTTTTCAACAAAACCGATGCTCTGATACTGTCCTCCTATCTGAAATTAATTACCATTATCTCCTCATTTATCAGCGTTTTTTATACATCGGGGCTATTACCATCTGCGTGTTTATTTTCGACGCTCATTTCGCAAATTGTCGTCTCTCTTGTTTCATCCCGGCTCATTCGCCGTCGCCTCCGGGAGAACCGAACCTTGTTCCTAAAGGACAGGATGTACGAAAATAAATCCCCTTTCTGTAGCATCCATCGAGCTATTTTGAATCATTTTCCGGTTTGTTTGTCGAAGTGACGTCGACCACGATAATTCCTCGGTGATAAGAGCGAACTCGAGATGACAGATAGTGTGGAAGTAGGTGACCTTAACAGTGAACGTTTTTAATTTTGGCCGGTTTTCGGGTGATTTATCGGGGCTTATAATTGCCCTAATGGCTTTTTAAATTGATTCCGCCAAGTACGTGCTCGGCGCAGCGATTTACGGCTTCTCGGCGTCTCTTGCCGTGTGGTTTGAGTCGCGATTTAAACGTCCCAGAAATAAACGAAGTGTCGGGAATAAGGAAATTTCGGATAATTTGGATTTTACTGAGTAAATTTGTGGAGGAGGTTCGGGTAATGAATTGAATGCATATTTCATGCCGGGTTGTGTAAACTAATTATGTTATGGGTTAAGATGGAGTGACAGTGATGGGTGGTTGAGATGAAATTAGAATTTCATATTGTTGTTTGATGACGGCGGGTGCGAAAGCGAAGCAGAGTGACATAGGATCATAATTTGCAACAAGAAGATTGTGGGTGTTGAAAACTAGGTAGGCACAATTTTGTGGATTTTTAAAAAAGTCGGAAATTTTTGAAATTGTTAAAATAAAAATATTTTATATTTGGTGGCGTATATTTTTAACAAATTTAAAACAAGTTGGGATCAGTTTTTCACTCGTAACTAAAAAACCGTGGTTATTAGATTGTACAATACGCAGTTTCTGCGGTCACTAATAATCAGCGTAAATTAACCACTGAATGAAAAACTAGTCCTGCATTGTAGTGTATATAAATACACTAATCGAACAGTTTTATAAATATTTTGGCTATAATTGGAAAGATCTATATTACACCATCTGTTGATACATTGCTCAAATAAATTTAAATATTGAATTGTGTATATGACTAAATTGGGCGTGATTCAGAGGCGTTATTTATTTACTGAAATTATTCCTTCTTGTTGAAGGAATATAAAATTCTTTATAAATCCGCCTTTAAAAGAAAAGAAAATATTTTGATAAGGAAGCAGAGTGGTGGATTTAAATTTTAGCCCTAAAATATGCAGATTTCTTGGAAACTTGATGCCTTCTGAAGTTTTTCCAGAGTATTGTTAAAATAACCCGAAAATTCTTAATCGACATTATTTTGTTTCATATCATTGTATCCATAGCAATTTGAATCACAATGTTTTTTTTTCATTTTCACCTTTTCTCTTGGGAAACGCAAAAAAAATCCCTAAGGTTTAGACAGATCTTCGTATCTGAATTTGATTCAGCAGATTTTATTTTTAATGATACGTCTTATAACTTCTAAGAAAATATGATTATTAAACTACAGGTAAACAAGTATGTTATGCGTATGTTTCTTAGTAAAAATTTGTGATGACATCATCAACATGTTAGCAAGAACAGATATATCAATTTGATTCTGATTTAATCAATGAAATAATATTTTATTTTCCTATGAGACATCCTGTTTAAGCAAATCTAAAAAATAGTGTCAAAACAGGCACATTTACAGAAAGAAGCATGGTATTCTCCTCATTTGAAATTGAATTTGTTTCGCAAAACTTAGGGAAGACGCCATTATTTTTTGGAATGTATAAATTAATAAATTGTCATTAACGATTACCATGTTCGGGATAACCATAAAGAGTGTGCAAAATTTCAGCGTAATTAGTGTTGTACTTTCGAACATAAATAGTAAACTTTTATTTGTTTTTCTTTTTTCAAAAACTGACAAGAATTTTTCTGAGGGAATAGTGCCTAGGTTTTCTTAGTTCTTGTCTTAAAAGCACTTACATATAAATAATAAATACAGAATTTAGAGCAATTTTTTTGAATTAATCAGAAATTAGGAATAAAAAATTGCACAAAAGATTGTCCCAAATTTATTTCTTTTTATTTTCCCAACAAAAATTTATTACTGTCTAAGTGACCATTGATATGAATTGGGTCTTTTGACTGACAGATCAAGTAGTACTTTTTTTTTCAAGAAACAGTAGTATTAATCCATTATCTCAGTATCGGTACATAAAAAAAAAATTACCATCGTTAATATTTTTCTGTTATGATTATGCAATATTATATTCGAAACAAAAAATTCATATATTCGAGTCTTTGAAAAGACACATTTTGATTAGCGATCTATCAGACTGATAAATTAATGATAGTTTCAGAACAATTTATTCAACAGTTTTAAGTTAAGACAAACTTTCAAAGTTTTTTGTAGAATTTTGATTATATTTTTAAATCTAAATTAAATACAAATTAACAAATAAGGGCAGATTAATGAACACCTTGTATACAGGTAATTTATGTTACACAATTTAATAACCGTTTGCCATGCAAAATTTTGAATGACGACATCAAACTGTTGGTGAGGATGAAGAACAAATTTTGGTTAGGTTTAAACAATATGCGGGACGAAATACCAAGATCTTAATCTTGTACAAGCCATAAAATATATGTGAACAACAAGAAAAAAATGTAGATATTCTCAATTTCTAGGCACATGCTTAACTTCGACTGTTTATGTTTATACTTTGAATGAATTCGACTATTAGTACGTTCAGATTACAAGCATTAGCGGTTAACTAACAACAAAATTTGATTAATTGTGTCGCTTCAACGTAGAAGCGATGATTAATTAACTAATTAAGCACACTCGGTTTTTTCTCAAAAACTGGATGTCAAGCGTAAACACTCATAAATGTGAAGAACATTTATTTGGCAAAATTGTGACTTGACTTAATGATTTCTTGCTTGCGGGTGATGGCGGAAATAGACAAATTTTAATTAACAATTTACCATGCTTCCAATAACTTTAAAATATTTTTAAGATTTCACAGCATTCGCTTTTACAATTTCAAAGTTAAATTATATACAATTTTGATTTTTTTTTCACAAAAAACGCATTTGCAGGAGAATGTTATTGTATAAGATCTAAAGAAAAATTACTCTGCGAAATTGTAAGATGACATAATTTTTTGGGAAGCCATAAACGCAGAACAAATTCTGGTTAACGATTTACTGCAAGATTTCAAAGCGTTCGCTTTCACAATTTCAAAGTTAAATTGTAAAATATTGTTATACAATTTTGAATTTTTCCCCAAAAATCTGGTCGTCTAGGGTAAAAACCCGACATGGATTCATAGAACACACATACACGAGTATGTAATTCTATAAAATTTAAGGAAAATTTATTCAGCAAAATTGTAAGATGACGTCATTATCATAGACGAAAAAATTTTGATCAACGATTTACCATGCGTGCAATAACCTAAAACATTGATTTCAGAGCATTCGATTTTCCAGTTTCAAAGTTAAATTGGAAAATGTTATATAATTTTGATTTTTTAACATTTACTATTGTAAATTTTCGAGATGACGTCATTGTATTTTTGGTGGGGATGATTGATTTAATTTTGGTTAGTGTTTTACGATCTACACAATATTCGTAATACTTATATAAAATTTGATAATATTCGGTTCAGTAATTTCGGAGATTATGTGTCTAATAAAAATCCGGGCAGACGGAAACGGAAGACCTATTTTTTCGGATTCTAGAAATCATGATACTTCAAGAAAACATGACAGTAGCCAGTTGTCCGATGGCTTTGATTGCAATACTTCCTTGGCCTACGCTCGGGAAGTAATAAATTAGAACTGGCTAAAATGTGGTACAATTTTTAATTTGATTATAATTTTTTTTTTATTTCTGACTTATGCTTTTGAGAACAAACGTCCTTCTTAATATTATTCTGCTATACTAAAAAAAAAAATTGTTGCGCAAAATAATCCGCTCAGGTTACGTTTAGACAACCAAAGTAAAATGATTTATAATTTTACACCGAATATTTCACAATGCCGATTGAACATTTTAATTGTAAAAATTTTTGCTTCAATTGTTGTTGCATAAACGTCACTAAATTTTTTATTTCCGGAGAGTAAACTAAGTTAAACATATTGTGTAAACGGTAAAATACTAACAAAAAGTTGTCTTGACCATCCTCACCAACAATCTAGTGATGTCACTTCAGAATTTTTTTAGTAAATACCATTGAATTTTAGAAAATCACATACTGCTATACTTGTGGTTTACGAATCCGCCTTGAATTTTTAACCTAGGTATCCAAATTTTCGCAAAAAAATTCAAATCGTACCTCGTATAGTAGTTTAAGCGGCATGAGAATCCTATGTCAATACCACTAGAGGCCAGCGTTTTCGATTTCTAAATCGAAAGCAGGTTCGACTCCCTCATAGGAGAGCTTTTTTTCCTTATATTATCACTCTTATCACCTTTTTTTTTATTTATAGAGTTATCACAAAATAAAATACAATTTTTTAATAATTTTTAAAGAAATGGTTTGTTGGACTGTACTTCAGGGGCGAGGGAAGTTCTACCTAAATAACCTAAGACCAATTCTTGTGCACTCCGACTGGTATTGTCTATATTTTTTATGATTAGTATTGCATCTGTACTGCACGTGTCGGTATTGACATACGTGTCCTTGCTGAGATGTTGATTCGGAATAATTTTTTGACCGTTCACCCGATTTCCCCACATTCCACTCCAGACCAAATATAACAAAGTGTGTTTTCGTAACATAATGCGTTTGAATTAAAGGCGGGAAGTATTTTCGAAATAATTTTCGATGATTTTTGCTTACCGCTCATAGAAGTATTGTAATCGAGTCCATCGGGCGACCTGCTGCTTTCATGTTTTCTCGACGTTTCAGGACTTCTAGAGTATGAAAAAAGTGATCCTCGTTTCCGTCTGTTGTCTGTGTCTATTTTTATTAAACATATTATCTTTGAAACCACTTAACCGACTGTTGTCAAATTTTGTATATGACCAAAATTTGGGCGTTCATCCCCACCGAGAATTTGATGACGTTATCTTAAAAATCCTGAATTAAAATGATTTAATTGTCATAAAGTAATATATTCCTACATTTGTGGTGTATGAATCTGTTTGAAGTTTTTCCCCTAGACATCCAAGTTTTCGCAAAAAAAAACAACTTTGAAGTTTGATATTTTTTAATCATTTTTTTAGCTAGATTCTGGGGAAATTAAAAAACGCTAAATAAAGTCATAATTTTTTCACAATTTTTAGACGCATGGTTTCCGAATCGAGAAATGAACATCGCTCGTAAAAATATTGTGTGAATTTACTGGAAATTTCCTTAGTGCTTTTCAAGTGCAAATTTATGCATAAATTTGAATACATTATCATTTTTATGCTACTGGACAAGTTGTGCGATTAAAAACTTTCGCATTATATTAATCGCTTGTAGAACGATAACGACAAATTAATGTCATTTACGTTGAGAGAAATAATTGGCGTCCCGGGGGCTGCACAGTATTTCTTTTTATGTTTCATAAAAGGTTTTTTCGCTTTGATCCGAAATGCTATAGCATTTGGTACACAAGTACGGGACGAATTGATGTGAGTTAAAAATCTCCACATCCTTAGCTGCTATAGGGTCGTAAAATAAATAAAAAAATTAAATTTTTATAAAACATGTCAAAACATACAAACATGTATGCGGGTGACGTCATGGCAAGTCCAACCGATTCGGGATGGAAACTCGGAACTTGACAAGAAAATCCCCAGAGTTACAATTTACGCGATGTTTGAACTAAAAACATACAATAAGAACTACCGTCTTGTCAACAGCGCAAAAACGACTGATCTCCCACTTAATTTTAGAAACAGCTATCTTTCGAAATTATCGCCTGTCACAGCTGCAAGTAATCACGGTCCAACCTGCATAAAATCAACAACCGCAACGACGAACCCACCACGAGCAACAAAACCCAACTTCGTCCTTAATCCGACACACATACAAAATTCATCGAAATGCAAACCTCTGACCCCCACAAACCCCCAGTGAATTCCTACGGGCGCAACGGATTGGCGCATTTCCCGGCTGGGAGTTGGGTGTGCCGACTCTTCGCCTTTTTTCCCTGCATAATCCATGTCATAATTCGCCCCCAAAATTGCTTTATCGAGCAGGACAAATACGCTGTTGCGCGTCTTTGTTGACTCGACAGAGTCATTTTCCTGTTTGGTTGATTGTGCCTAATACGATTTTATATTTTTTTTGCAGTGGCTCGCGGCGTGCCGGCTTTTGTGTGATAATGGTGTGACGTGAACGCAGTGGCGTAGTGCTGGCATGGGCGTCACTCCAGGAGAGGACGCGTACAGCATCCCGTTCTTGGCGCGTTTGCTGCACTCGCTACCTCACTTGAATGTCACATTCCACCAAGTCAATAATTCTTTCGACCCGCAGTCTCCGGTTTATTTAGAGGTGAGTGGTTTGAGTGTTTTTGCTGTTATTATGTTATTGTTTTAATCGAGATTGTTGGATGAGCTCTTCAAGTCGAGGGCACTTGGACCGGTGTCATTGGCTCTTGTATGCTTGGAATATCTTAAATGTTTGTTTGCATACAGTGTGTTTCCGAAGATGGAATCAATCCGACTGAATTTCGAGAATGAAAGTGGACAAAAATGTTCGAATACTTGGGTTAGTTTTTTATGGGCTGCAATCTAAGAAAAATTTTGATTTTTTGTTTACATACTTATAAATTTTGACGTTTTATTTATTTACCTGATAGATGGGTTGCCAAACAATCACGGGATCTTCCCACGACTGAAAGAATGCTGCCGGAACTTGATTAAAAAAAAAACATCGATCACGTTATAAGAAACAAGAATTCAAATATCTTTATTTTTGGAAAATATAGTTCAGCTTGGGTTTAAATTACGTATGTTTTGTCTTGGAAAAACAGATTTCAAAATTTTTAATAGCTTGTAGAATATACAGGATAACTCGTTAAGCTCCATATCTCATTAATTATAAGAAATAACGAGCGCTCAAAAACAAACCCCTTTAGTTACTTGTTGATCGTCATTAAAACGTCTGTATTTGCAGCAATACGACTAAAACATTTTGAAACAATTGTGAGGTGTTATTAACTCCAATATGTTTTTTTTTTCATTTATTTTCTGTCGAAGTTCATCCAAATTTTCAAATATTGAATTTTTTAAATAAGACCACAAAAATAAATGACCAGAGAAAACCCGTAAGCAATGTATTTTATATGACAGAATCGCGGCGGTGTCGTCAGTTATTGAAATCTTACCGGTTTCTGAAGAAGCTATATATTAATATATAATATATATTAGCTAGTGGTACTAAAATTATTTTTATTAGTTTTTTCACCATGGGAGTATTGATACCAAATGTGTCGCAGCTGGGACCTCAACCTCTATTTAAATTTGTAATTGTGTCGCTAGCAATAATGTAAGTCGCTTCATGAAAGTGAAAACAAGATTTTGTTAATATTTGAGAATTACCGGTTTTGGGTAAATATTCTGTGAAAGTGCACTTATCGTTTGTTGACTTTCGTTGATTCAATATTAAGTTAAGAATGCTGATAATATAATCATCAAACTCTTCTGACGAAAAGTTGCCGTTACCCATGCCATTTTCTTTTTCTTGTTTTTACAACCATTTATGTTGTTTCACTTTGTTTTTCGTTTATTTTGAGATAAGTTAATAAGTTATTCATAATTATTACTCTTAGTTAATGATATTCAAACCTATATGTTTTTATATAACACTTAGATCGAGTCCGCAGTTTCATGAATTAATCCAACGACACTATTTTAGTTATTAACTGATTTTTTTTCAAACAACAAAACGAAAACAAAAACGCAAAAACAAAGAAACAGAAACAGCTAAACGGAGCAAGGAAATCCAAACAACGGATGTGACAGATAATAAAAGAATCTACGCATTTTTGTTGGCTCTTTTAGAACTACGTCCCCGAGAAAAAAGTAAAAATTTGTAAGTAGAGGGTTTCTTTGGCCATAAAAAAAAATTGGACTAAAATGGTTCTTTGATAAACATACACTTATAGTTTCTTTAAATAGAACATCCATATATTTTGTTCCTGCTCTGATTAGCCTCTTCTTAAACTTTATAACCATATTTTATGTTTGAAATTCCAACTATTTTGCCACGTTATTTCAATTTTAATTATTTTGTTTGCGATGCTAGAGTTCACAAAAATCGTATGCGATTAGTAATATCGGTGTTGCAATGTTTTAAAGACATAAACAGAGGTATTGTGGTGTCAATTAAATTGAATCTTAGTCACTGGCACAGTGTTTATAACAAAATTCTTAATTATTCAATTTTAATCAAAATTTGTTCGTTCCCTCCCAAAAAAATTGGTACAAATTTTGTCCAATAAATCCTCTCTGAAATATACAAAATATTACAACTACTAGTGGTTTATCAATGTATGCATTGTTTTTAGAATTACTTATACAGGGTGACTAAAAAAAATAATGAATGGGGAAATTTATTTTATTGGGAATAGAGTACTGTTATTATTAATATTACACATCTTTTAAAAGTATCTAGATACAGATTGTTTTCGATTTTTTCGAAATATATCTAGATACAGATACAAGAAAACATATACTTTTTGAAGCTTTGACGAATAAAATAACTGAAAACATGTTTATGTATTTTTTATATGTATTGTTTAATGGATTTTTTTTAATTAACAACATTTCGAACGTATTGTCACCTACATTATTTCTTCTTGGTGTCAGAATTTGGTTTCCGCTACTAAACACCCGTTCCACAGGTCCAGAAGAAGGGATTGTGGTATTAAGTTTAAAAAATAAATATTTTACTGTAGCATAGTTATTCAAGAGTGAAAAATCTTTTCTTTTTTCCTGCAAATAAGCCATCGCTTCGCTGTTTGATGTGTCGCAAATTGTGCAATATTTATTACGTAGGCTTAAAAAGAATATTTTTTTTGTTTTTATTCCCATACTATACAGTGTCCAAATTGTATATCTAATAATTATCTCCAGCATTAAAATTGATATTTCAAAATGTTGGATGTATGATTGTTATTCATACATACGTACCGAAAAAGATTGATATAAATGAAACACAAACATGTGCTGTGTAACACTGTATTTACTTGTTGTTGACGGCTCGGAGTCTATGTACAAAGTTGTTAAAATCGGAAGCGATACATTCCAGGTAAAAGAGAAAGTTGGGGACGCTTGTTGACAAGGGTTGCGGTTGGTAGGTAAAACCGAAACCCGAACATGGTCCGGCGCCTTGAAAGAACTAACTTTCAACATGACAAAGTATAACAATTGCAAATATGGAATACATAATATGTGTCTACATAACAGGTGCATACATTGACAATGAAATAGAGTACAGAACATATAGAAAAAAAGGGGTAAATTTAGACACTGCACATTTGTTTATGTCGGAAGCACACACAGCTTAGTCACTTGCAGGTTAATCACATCATGCGCGGTTCTCACTGTCACTACGCGAATGGGGGCATGTAGACCGGGATGAACAGTAATAACGCGTCCCAGTGGTCCATATAAGCGGGGGTGTGTGGTCTTCCTTAAAGACCACCAAATAGTCCACCTTATGCTGTTGCGGCTGGCCTTGGTCCATTTTGGGCGATGATGAAGTTGACCCATATGTTCTGCTGTCCACCGTTTCCAAAATTGCTGCTGAGTGCGGCTGAATTGTTGCCACCTGGAGAGCCGGTTCGTTGAGACCGTGGTGACGTTATCCTCTGGAATAACAGTTAGAGGGGTTCCAACGAGGAAGTGACCGGGAATTAAAGGAGTCAGGTCATTTGGATCTTTGGACATGGCGGTTAACGGGTACGAATTCAAACACGTTTCGACTTGTATATGCAACGTCTGCATTTCTTGCAAATTAAATAAAAATATACCAGTAACGCGCTTCAACTGACTTTTCGTAGATTTGACCATTGCTTCCCCGATAGTCCCCATATGTGGCGCGGAAGGCGGAATGAAATGAAAATTGATGTGGTTAGTTGTCAAATCATTCAGCAAATTTGTATTCGAAGCCCGTTTGGCTAAAGTGACACGTGCTTGGTAAAGCACGGGATCATCCCACCACAAAGTTTTTTCGTATCGTCTGTCTTCGGGTTGAAATAAAATTTGATGATACATGTTACAAATGTCCGCAGTAAAAGCGACCTCATGCGTCCTAGATCGAATTATTGAATCGGAAATGTCGTTTTGTACTTTTGGCCCTGTACTGAGACAAGCATTTATGCTTTTTCCGAATGATGGTTTGGCTGAGCCGTCAAATACTACGCGAATCTTATCAGTGACCCCGTCATTTTTGAAAACCGCGTGGTGAGGCAAGAGGTAATAGGGTTCACTTTCGATTCTATGCTCTGTCAATGGACCTAGTAAACGCATATGACCCAAATTAATGTATTCTTTCATAAAATCGTGATAATTTATTTTTAACATGACATTTTTTGCGAACTTTCGTTCCAATGTGTTGAACCGTTTGAGCGCGATTTCTGTCGGATTCCCCAAGTTTGGTAAAAATTCGTTAAATGTTAATCTGACTTGAAATCGTCCGTTGGATAATTGAGTGGCATTGTTAATAAAATAGTTCTCATGTTGTATTTCAAGAGCTGTGAGCGGCTTATCATCGTTTGAATAACTTTCAAGTTTCCAGAACTTTTCAACCTGGTTTTCTAAATTGACATTATTGACCGCGCAATGTAGATTTTGACGAGTGTTACTGGTGGGGCATCCATGCAATGGCCCTCCTACAATCCAACCTAATAAAGTTTTTTGTAATATTAAGCCATGTCCTATCGTTTGAATTTGACCTACACATAACAGTTGCCAAAATAATCCAGCTCCGATTAACAGATCGATTGGCTGTGACAAATTGAAATTAGGATCGGCAAGTTTTACCGCTTCAGGTATGTCCAGCTCATCTTTAGAAAAGGTACGGACAGGTATGTTCTTAGAAATTTTTGGGATTACCAGACAATTTAAAGCTGTTGTAAATAAGCAATGTAACGACTCGATCTGTACCTGAACCTTTTGTCTAGCGGTCGTATTTGAACATTGAATACCTGCTACGACCACATTTGCATTTTGTGTACTTAAACCCAATTTGTTAGTGGCGGCTTCAGTAATAAAATGCGATTCTGAACCCACGTCTAACAAAGCCCGGAATTTTTGAAATTTGTTTTTACAATCCTTTATTAGAATTATTGCTGTAGACAAAACGGGTTGTGGAAAAAGGGCGGATGAGCAATAAACGCCACTGGTACTAGGCTGGTTTTCGTTTGAATGGGAGGGTTGGTCACTATGTAAAAGTGTATTATGTTTCAATTGGCATAATTTACATGACATAGATTTACAGCTATCGGACGTATGCGATGGTTTGAGACAATTTTGACATAATTTCAA